GCAGCTCGCACAGCAGGGCAGCCCGGCTCCGCCCGGCCGCGCGCCGCCCGCGGAAGCGCACTCCGTGCTTGTTGGCCGCCAGGTAGTCCTTCATGGCCTTCTGCAGGCGTGGATTGAGCATCTTGGAGGAGACAGTGCCCTTCCAGAGCCGGTGCAGGAAGGCCCTGGACATGGAGGAGTACAGCCTGTCTCCTTCCTCGCCCTCCTCCAGCGCGGGGCTGCTGCCCTGGGGCTGGTACCTTTTCCTCTCTGGCAACCACCCCTTCCACCTGCCAGCGTGCCTGGGGGCAAGGGACTCCAGTGTCCCTTGAGTGTGGCTGTGAGACCCTGGTTGACCGGCAGCAAAAAAGTAGTCGTCGTCTTCTGGGTAGAAGGTACTTTGGGATTTTCTCCCAATCTGGGATAAAAAGAACTCTTCATTTTCAACCCCATCTGGCAACTTGGCCCATTTCTGCAGGTCGCGAGGCCCCATGGTGTGTCCATCCAGCAGCCCCTTGTTTGTATTCACACTTTCAGGCCAGGAGGGCTCCTGCATGGCACCCATGATGACCCTCTGCTTCCCCTGCATAGGCAAGAGCCTCCTAGTCTCCAGGAAGGCAAGGGAGCTGGGGGCGGGCTCAGCAGGGTTGCTGTCGGTGAAGTAAATGAAAATCACCAGGAAGAGGAGCCCCCAAGTAAATATCCCACAAAGCATTAGTTGTCTCCATTGCTTCAAGGGTGGTTTCATGGCAGTTCTCTGGGTTCAGCACCTGGTGTCCCACAGTGGTGGAATGAACCTGAAAAACAGGTCTACAGTTAGCTAATGTGGACATCTGCTCAGATATCACTGGGGACCATCTATGCTTGCAGTGTTCCTGTAGGAGAGGGTTGAGTGGGCATCAGCAACCAGGATCTTGGGTGGGGGGGAGTGAGGGGAGCTTTGGCTAAATTCAGGTGTCATATGTCCCCCAACCCCTGACTTCTGCAAAAGGGGCCCCACCATCTCCGCTGGCTGTGCTGGAAGGGAGGACGTGGACGAGGTGTACTGGGAAACCCTTCTCAGGGCACTCAGTCTTTCCACCTTGACAGCTGCTTCATAGGAGCCATCCCAACGACCTCTCCCAGAAACTGGATTTATAGAATTATAATTTAGTAAAACAAAGCAGGAGTTGAGCCAAGTTTGCCATCTCTCACCCACTTATTAGCCAAAAGCTCAAAGTTCACATATTGTACTGTCACAGAATTTACCAGGCGATGGAAAAATACACAAGAGTACTTGGAGATTCAGGATAAACCCATTTATTTTCAGATGTTTCACATGTACTAGTACAGTGACTCAGGGGAGCCTGTTTCCAAATCCTGAGCCCCTGAATATGGAGGAAGCTTTCCCTTTATACCCATTGTTTTCTTTGTCCCCCAAATATGGATGAGACTTCCGGACCTTTCGTGGGCTTTGCAAAAAAGCCCCATGTGTCGGGATGGGGGATGTGAGACCACACCTAAAGGCCTGGCCAGGCACCAGCACTGATAACCCCCTCCAGGGGTTGTGTATGGTTTATGGCCTTTGTAAAATGGGAGAATATAGGTAAATAGGTCTTGCAAGACCAGATAATTAAGGAAGGGACAGTGAGTTAATTATCGGCTAGCAAGAATGTGCATTAGGGATACTGATTAACTAGATACAGAGTCAGATTGCTAGCCCCCTCCCAAAAATGTATTTTTATGTTCCCCATCAGTACAACAGCACTGCTGTGTATTTCTAGGGGGTGACAACCATATCTGATTCTTCAATGTCTCTTCCAGGCCTGGGAGGCTGCCTGGAACATACCAGAAATACACCTATGGTCCTGAATAAGCAAGACTGCAGTGTCTATTGCTGCAGGGGGATGTTATGCCAAGGTGTCTGTGGACTTCAGTAGTGCCCCAAATAATGCCCACCTACTTCACCCTCACCCTGAGTCTCTGAAGGAATAAGAGGGAAGTGTAAGGACAGAAAAAAGCCTTTTCTTTGCTGTGACCTTCCACAATTTATGAGAAGTACCTAGTAAGTAAACTCCAATACTGTTGGCTCCTCTTTTCAAACTGGGGGACAAGATAAGCTACTCTCACACTTTTAACACTAATTTCTGATTTTATCTGATCATACCAACTGAAGCAGTATTCTCTAAATGAGCCTTTGGATCTTTTTCACAAATTGTCACAGTCTAATACTTTTATATTTCCATGCCTGAATGTCTTGGCAATATCAAAGTGTTTTAAAAGCTTCTAAATGCTTACAATCAGTTCCATACATATCTCAATCAGGAACTGAGAACAGTTTGTGGATGTGCACAGTCTGGGGGCCACACTTTGAGTAGAATCTGCAAAATGATCTTTCTAAACCTGTCCATTCAGCAGATTGTGCTTCAAACTGTAATGCACAACCTGAAGATATAAAACTGTTGCCAATATTCCCACATTTTTATTAGAAACCAGAAAAACATTCTTATGAGAGTTATTCTGCTTCCACCCCAACTGAATACACTGCAACACAAGTTTACACTAACCACTAGTGTTAGCACAATCCCACAAGACTTCAGACATCAGCCTTAATTTATATCCCAAGGCCACCTGCACTTCTCACCCTGGAGATCCCCACAATACCCCTCAGGTTTAATCATTTACTAGAATGACTAACAGAATGGAAAGTTACACTATACTAATGACTACAGGGTTTGGGGGGTAAGGGATATATGTAGTTCAAGGTGTGCATGTGTTACCAAATGGAGAGGGATTCCATATCCATTTCGCATGGTGTCAGGCAACACCATCCTCTTGGGCCATCTATATGTTCACCAACCACAGACCTCCACTGAACCTTGGCATCCAGAGATTTTATTGGGGTTCCATTATGTAGGCATGACTGCTTAAATCATTGACCATGTGACTGAATTAAATTTCCAGTCTCCTCTTCTTCCCAGAGGTCAGGCTGGCCCAAAGTCCTCTGCCTTTTAATCACAGGGCAGGTCTTTCTGGTGACCAGCTCCCATCCTGAAGCTATCTAGGGGCCCACTAAGAATAAACTCATTAGCATAACAAAGACAATGGTTTTAGAAACTCCATGCCAAGAACCCAGGACAAAGACCAGACGAAAGATTAAACCACCATAAAGCTCTAGTAGCTGACTTAAAAGGCAGTCTTTCTGTTTCTGGTAGAAATCATCCTTTCCTGGTTGTCCTGCAACAGCTCTGGGGGCTTATTCTGATGGATTACTAAAGAAAGGGAAATGGAGGTTTCTTAAACAACATTTGCTTGAGAGACTTAAAGCACTAAGTCAAAACGATGAGGTATGTGCACAGAATTTCAATAGATGAAAAAACAAACAGGAAACCTTGATAGGTTGGAGAGGAACTGGAAACTTAAGGTTTTGGGGATTGGAGTTAGGTCCTGTGTCTTGCATGTCAGGCGACCCTTAGCTGCCCAGTTCTGCAGAGTCAGGAAGCTATGGAAACGGGCTCAGAAGGGGAACCTGCTAAATTTCATGTCCAGATTCAGAGTATCAGACATATAGACTTGATTATAGAGAAATGCCCAGTTCCCAACCCAAGACACGTGACGTCTGTTTTTCATGGGGAGATGACAGACATGACACAGGGGTGGGGGGGAAGTGGGGGGGGCGGGGGAGGAGAAGAAGAATGAGAGGAAGTCTGTAGACACAAAGAAAGTAAAGGGAAAGCCTAGCTGGACAGGGGGCCAGGACCCTGGGAAAGGTTGTGTCCTCTCCATCTTCCAGGCCGTAAGTAGGAAGGGTGGGATTTGTAAAGCTCTCTGAGTGCCATATAGGAGTAAGTATCACAATGAAAAGAATGAGAATTTTCATTAGGTCAGACTTATAGCTTCTCATCCACAGTAATAATAAAAGTGGTGGGATCCTGCCTCAACTCATGATTAGGCTTCAACTTTTAGTAGATCCAAAAGCTGCCCTGCAACTGCTGTCACTGCAGACCTGCTGCTGCCAGTGAAGGGGACATTCTCCAAAATGATGAACTCCCATAGCTATGGAAATCCTCTGCTAGTAAGACACTCATGTATCATAACAGCCTCAGGAATCATTTTCTCTCAAGAATCATTTTCTAAAATTAGCTCTTGTCACATATCCAAGAAAACTTTGTCCAGTCTGCATGAGAGAAAGGCACCACTCCCGCTGAACTCTCTTCACAGCCTCATGGGCTCCTTTGGCAAATGACCCCCTTTCTATTCTTTCTTTCTTTGTCTTTTTTTTTTTTGATGGTTTCCTCTTTATTGATGTGCCTCTTACTTTCCCCCCACAATTTCATCCCCTTCCATCTACCCCACAAAAAGATAGTGAAAGGGAACCAGTATTGGGGTTCTGAGCTCTTTGGGCAGTTAGAAAAGGAACAGAAACCAAAACAATCACTGGACGTGACAGAGATAGACAATCAAGACGTCTAAAGCAGAGTGGGAAAGATGGTAGAAAGAAGGCAGGAGAAAGGAGAGGTACCAGAGGCCATCTCCCCCACGAGCTCCCTGCTAAGAGGGTCTGGAGAAGAGCCTCAAACATTAGGAAGTACAGGTCCTGAAGGAAGAAGTCAAGGAAGGGGGAGCCATCTCTCTCTATGTAGAATGGGCCCCCCCACTGCAGGCGCAGCAGCTTCACAGGCCATAGACACTTTCGTCGCTATAGGCAATGTATAGAAAGAAGTCTTCTTCATGGTGTTCCTGGTACAGCTGACCCATTGTGGCACTGGTGGGTGGAATGACATTGTTGACAAAGAAAAACAAGGCATCCTCAGCTCAAAGGTGAATTCGCTTCCGGATCAAGAAATAGAACTGCCCAACTGTGAGATCAGAAGGCACCAGGTATTTCTTTTTGTTCAGGTCTTTTGTCCGAGCTTTGGGAGCCTTTTCTACTATCACCGGGACCCGGTCCGGGTATTTCTTTCTGATCTTCTCGCCCTCAGAGCGGCGCTTCTCTTTCAGATGCTCCTCTTAATACACGAACTTTATCCTCCTGGGAACCCGGTTCCGTCTTTTTTTTTTTTTTTATAAAAGAAAGCCTCCAGTCTGCCAAATGCATGCCACTAAAGGTCCACTCCTTAATTCAGTCCCTCTCTGATCCCAGCCCATGCTCAAGCTAATGCCCAGAAGCCAGAAAGAAAAAGGTCAGCCCAGGTCCCACAGACCTTGAAGAGAGGGCAACCCCATTCTCCTGCAGGGCTGGGGAGGGGTCAGAACGGCCAGTTCATTGTTGGAAGCGCAGTGGCATGGCCGGTGCTGTGAGCCCTGAAGGCCAGCATCTCCTCCAGGCTCAGGCCAAATCTCCCTGTGATTGGGACCCACTGGACTCCAGAATGGATGTAGCAATCTCATGAGCTTGCTTGGCTAAGTCAGAGTTTAAAAAATGTGTGCCAGGGCTTCTGGTTAGTTTAAAATTTGGATGTTTGAGTCATCTCAGTGGGGAAGAGTATGAGCTACTGAATGGCTGGACCACATATAATCAATTTTGTATTCCAAAAAGCACAAGGTAGGCAGTTTCATGTAAGAGTCCTAATTAATATTTCTGAAGTAAATGAAATGAATGACTGAAATTAAAGTAAAACAAATGGAACTGCCTGGACAGGCTCTTGGCTGGGTCAGGAGGGAAAGGATGTTACACTTGCTGTGCTGCCCAGGCCATGAGTGTCTGGTTGGCTCCAAGCGCATGGAACCAGCAGTTGCATGGTTAGGTCAGCATCCAGTGCGGTGAAGGGAACTAACAGCAGTCCTGTCAGACCCTGCTGTGTACCAGATGTCTACT